TTTGCTTGTTTTGATCTGTCTTTCACATCTTTCTTCAATGTCGTAAGCCTTTGTTAAACAACTTATATTTAAGAGTGGAGCACTAAAAAACTGATTGGAAATTCCAAATCCATCCAATCCATTCATTTTATTGTCTTTGGTATCTTTGTTAACTTGGGCTAGTCATATTCCCTTGATAAGGATCTTCCCGTCTCCACTTGGATATGTAGACTGCCAGTATTCTGTGTACTGAATCTTCCTCCTTTCAGTCTGGTTCCCCACCCTCACCTGTGCTGAGTGTCTCCCAATCCAGAGATACTCTAAAAGTCCCTCTTCATTAAAACAACAACAACAACAACAAAAACTACTGGTCTTCTTCCCAGACGAGGGGATAAAGCAGTCTTTTGGTTGTATGGAGAAGCAAAGGAGATTTGGGCATATAATTTACGTCTAAATTAAACTTTCATCCTATTCTCTAGGTTTCAGCCCTATCTTAACAACTTACAAATTTACTACAGAGGTGTAGCTAATTCATGAGCCATTTTGGAGGTTCTATAGGGTAAACTTAAAAGTCACTTTTATTACTTGAGTTAGGAATCTGCCTTTTTGCATTAGCTAAGTCTGTTATTACTTGTACATCTGTTTTCCATTTTCCAAAGTTATGTTGTTGTCATCTTTTCTGATTTCTTTGTCCTTTCAGGTTTATATCTTTTTTAAAAAGTTTTAATATTATTTTAGTGGGTTTTGAAGAGGAAGCAAAAGTCAGTGTATATGTTCACTCTCCCATATTTACCTAAACTACTCTTTCAAAACTGTTCATAATTCCAAATTATTTCTGGCTTTACTTATCTCTCTGTCAATCAGAGTTAGATAATCCCTCTTCTGTGCTCCCATAACACCCTGTGTATGCTTTTGTTATGGAACTTATCCCGTTGAATCATATCTTGTTTTTAACTTGTCTCCCCTGCCACACATCGTTGTACAACCAATCTCCAGAACTTTTTCATCTGGCGAAACTGAAATTCTACAACTCCCCATTTACCCCTCCCCTCAGCTACCATTCTGTTTTCTGTTTCTATGAGTTTGACGACTCTAGATACCTCATATAAGTAGAATCATACAGTATTTGTCTTTCTGTGACTGGTTTATTTCACTTAGCATAGTGTCTTCAGTGTTCATCCATGTTTTAGCGTGTGTCAGAATTTCCTTCTCTTTTTAAGGCCAAATAGTATTACATTGTATGTATATACATTTTGTTTATCTGTTCATTCATTGATGGATGTTTGGGTTGTTTCCACCTTTTGGCTATTGTAAATAATGCCATTATGAATATAGGTGTACAAATATCTATTTGAAACCATGCTTTCAATTTTCTTTTGGATATATATACCTAGACGTGTCATCATTTTTTATGACGTTGACATTTTTTAAGAAAACAGTCCCCCCTTTATAAAAAATAGAATGTTTTCCATTTTTGGCCTTTGTGATGTATTGAGATTCAGGTTACACATTCCTGGCCAGAATGCTGCATAAGTGATTGCAAATATTATCTTCTGCTTTTCTTTTGTCTTTCAAATTTTTTCATAATTTCTATATGTTGTAGAATGAATTTTCATGTAGTCTTTGTATCTTTTCCTTTATTTTCCTCCTGCCTTTAAACACAAAATATCTTGCCCCCTTCTAAGATTATTTTAACTATTCACTGTTTTTTTTATAATTTTTAAAGTTAAAAAAAATTTTAACTCTGTAGGTTATTTGAAGTTCTCTACTGATGTGTGCTATTATGGAAAGGTTTAACTGGATTTTTTCCCTAGTTTTTCTAACATCATTCATTGAATGAACAACAAATGAATCATTTGTTGAATCCTATGGAAGTATTTATGTGAAGTTCTTAGATTTACTAATTTCTATTGACCAGTCAGTTTTTATATCACTATCTTAACACTTTAGTTATTATATGTTGTAAATAATAGGTTGTAATATCTATTAGAGCATCTGTAAGGCAAATTCCTTAACCTCAAATTATTCTACTCAATTGTAAGAGTACTTTTAAAAGTAATATACATTAAGAATAAAATAAAGTTAGTCCAGCCTTTACTGTGTTTGCTCTTTGGATAAGTTAATCTAGATGCATACACAAAGAAAACCAGATAAAAGAAGCAGAGCTGTTGATCTTTCTCCAGTCTCTCCAAGGAAAAAATCTAAACTTGAAAGAATTACCAGTACGGAAACAGAGAGTCCTCCATTTCAAGAACCCATTGTAGTATCTCTGACTGCTTCCTAAATGCTGTCTCCCTAATAGTCCTATGAGATTACACAAAGATGATGCCACCAGCAGGAATAGACATTGGTTATTTAAAGGGACCATTTTGGAACAATTACTTCCCTCAAGAACGAGTGAAAATGCTTTGCAGTTAAGTATTTGTGTCCAGCACATTCTTTAGAGGGGATAGTTTCTTTATGCAGTGGCACCTTAGTTGCAGCCAATTAAGGTGTCTTAATTTTATACACCATAGAGGCAATGGATAATTTCCCTGATTGTTTACAAGCTGTCAGGAATGGTTCCAGGCATAATTTGAGTTTTCCTAAGCTTTACCAGGCTATTGATACAATCGAGGCCCACATTTTACAGCCCTTTGCCCCTACTTGTGGGACAGAATACTCCAACAAGAATTTCTGAGGTCTTTTCAATAACCTACAGCTAGACCTCATACCAAACATTCACATTCCTTGGAGGATGGGGCTTAGGCAGCTCTCTGTATTTTCAGAAAACTTCCTCTAGAAAATTCTCTCATACATGCCATGAATATGTCCTTTCCAGCTGCTCTGTCACTCTCTTGCTGTCTCTCTCTGGCTGAACAGTACTACCAATGCAACAGAACTCTTAAAGTGCCAAAACTGTGTTAGTGACCTCTGGCAACTTCCCCCTTCATTGGAATAACATCTTATACAAAGCAAGGCAGCTAGTGCCTCAGTCTTTTATAGAGATCTTGGTGAAATATTTCTCACTTTTTACTTCCAGCCCTCTCTCTTCCCTACAGCCATGTATAAGTAGATGGGACTAGGTCAGAGATGAATTAAAATGACCACCACCATACTCTACTCAGAATCACTCCTCCTCTTCTCCACCAATTAAGGCTTTGATTTTGGATCAGGGTTTCTGTACACCTGTCATATTCCTTCAGAGTTTTTCTCCTAGGATGCCTCGGTTCTTTATGTAAATAAGCTTTGAGTAGTTTTTAAGCACTTGTTTATAATACAGGGCTAGATTGTAAGGGTTAAGCTGGAACCCCTATTACAGTGAGAACCCCATGGCTTGTTTTCTCTCATTTCTTTACTGTTTCCTTTCTTTTCTTCATATACCAGTAGGTTATTACTCTGCTTATGCCAACTTTCAGATGTGTTTACACATTTAATTTAAATAAACTTTGGTCTAATTTTTAACTTATTGGTATCTTCTGAGTAGTCATTTCATATACGCTAAAACCCTTGAATTTTTTTTAATTGGTGCAAGAATTGACTTTGTAAAATAATACTATATTTGGGACAGAGGAAGCAGACAGTCCTCCCAAGGACTTCAGTGTATAGTGACTAATGGCAAAATTTCATTCTTTTCATTATTGGAGAGACTCAACAGGAGCTGAAAACTGAATCAGATTTCTCGAGTAACTCCAAAGTTCTTTGGATAGTTTCAACCACATACCTCTCTCTGAAGATGTACAGCCATGTTCAGAACATCTGTACTTTGGGGCCCTGCCTTTACTTTATTGTGAGCCAGCTGTAACTAAATTTGCTCTCTTATTTTTTGAGGGAACAGCAACTTAGATAGATGCAGTCTCCCATGGGGAGCAGACAGTGTCTAAGCAGCAAGAACCCAGAGGGACAGAGACATGGTTAGTAAATGGTAGCTGGTGCTAATAACAAAAGCAAAAATGATCGCCTCCTAAGATCAAAGAGCATCAAGTATTCTAGCAAAGCTTCCTAGGCTCTATAACCTCTAATTTAGACTGATGAGAATGTCCTGGAAGACAACACATCATGACAGTGGCTAGAGTAGAAAATCCTATTGAGTGAAGTTATGTTCCCTGCCATCCCAGGAAATACAGTCATGGAAGTATCTTCCTTTGCCCTGTGAATTGGGAAGGTAGTGAAATCACTGAAATTTTACAGTTCTCAAAAATTAAAGTAGGCTAATTATAATTCTACAAAGGAATTCTAAATTTACATTTTAAAGCAAGCTTTCGTTCTAAAAATTGTGCTGGTAAATTGTTTTGTGTATAAACAATTTTCTGTTTCTTTCAGTGTGGTTATGAGTTAATTTATTTAACATTGACTATAATCTATTAAGTAGAATACATTTCTAAAATATTTAAATTACAGAAAGGAAAATAAAATGATTTGGGAACATTTAAAAATTATCTGCTAAGATGGTTAAAAGGGCTCTCCAACAAACATACAAAAAAAGCCCAGAATGACAAGGTAAAGCTATTTTAGATTTTCAGATTTGGAACCCTTCTAAACTACATGATTAGAATGCTAGTGCATTAAGTGGAGTTGTGTCTTATTCAAGGGTTAGACTCAGAAATTGATATATCCAAAATTACCCTTGAAAATCCCTTACGAGGCCAGTACATTAGCGTCTTAGAGAATCATGTTATGTGGGTGGCTTGTGTTTCAAAGCTGTGTTGTCTTTTAGAATATATACTTTTCTCTCTGAACCCTAGAGTCAAACTCTTTTAGAGGGGTGCTCAGATGATGAACTTGTGATCAACTGAAAAACCAGCAAATTCACACCACGCATGTAACGCTCACTCCAGAGCATATACTCATTGAAAGTCAGGCAGAATTGTCTATACTGTTTATAGAGTAAATAGTCATTTTTCTTTCTTTTACTGCTGAATTTATTATAATTGAATTTGTGATAATTAACTTCGTAAAGACAAAATTCCACAGTATATGATTATGTATTTATTTTAAAGTTTCATCTGAATTTTTGTCTAATGTTTTTGTCATTCACATAGGAAAGAATGATGCTATACTGTGCCATTCCTTTATTGGCACAGTACAGAAGTACAGATAATGGATTCTGAATTAATGCACAGTATAGTAGGAAGCTATCTTAAACCTCCAGAAAGAGTGTTTGTTCCATCAATCGCCCAGAGTGATGAATCATCTCAGACTCACTATTCTGTGAACTTAGAAGTTACCTCTCCTAAAATGCTTCATAGTCCAAATAGCCAAGGTAATTCTAATAAAAAATCTTATTTAACATTAGGGGAATGGTACGAAGTATGTTATACAAAACTTTTCATTTTTATATAGAAAATAAGATGATTGTGTATTTAATCTTAGTAAAACTGCTCATTTTGACTCTGTTTCTTAAAGTTTCTATAAACTTAAAGTTACTTAACATTTTTTTATTTTGGCTTCTTCAGCTATAAGATGAAAATTAATATAACCAGCTAGGCACATATTACAGGCTTATCATTAAAACGTCATTAGAAAATAGGAAAATACTCTTTGAAGAATAAAAGGTCAGATTTGGAGACTCCTTCTGATAAACAAGATGATTAGAATACTAACAAATTAAGTAGAATTGTCTTATTCAAGGATTAAATTCAGTAATTTCATATAACTGAAATTACCCTTGAAAATTCTTCATGAATCCAGTACATTGGAGTAACTACAAAATACAAGTATTATAACTTTTAAAATACAAGCTTAGGAGGATCTTAAAATTGAATTAGGAAAACATTTATGACTCCAGGCATACCTACACCATTACAAATTACTTTCTAAGATGATGATAGTCACGTTGTTTTTTAATCTTTTATAATAATGGTTGCCGTTATTAAATAGACTGGCTTTGTGGAGCAAAGCAACTGAAGAAATAGTAATCCAAATCAAAAAATAATCTCTAGCAGACATTTTTCTAATTGGATATAAACTATTTGAAAGTTAACTTATAACATTTATTTATATTCCATTTATCTCTAGTTTTTTATAATTTAAAGTTGTAACTGAGAAGAAAATGTAAGACAATATTTGAAAATTTTATAACTCTGAGCGTATCTGAATCATGAAGATATTAATATAGCTGAAAAGAAATCACAGTAGTACATGTGTAACACTTATAATCTTTCAAGCTTGACATCAGTTAAACCACTAGGTTGTAATTTTTTCTTAATGGAGGAAACTATGTTCTATCTCATATGTCCTAATTATTAACATTATATCTTGGACAAAGAAACAATAAATGTTTCTGGTTTGACTGAAACTGAATACATGAAGAACTGAGAAAAACTTTTAACTTTAAACCTAAGTTTCCTTGTTAATTAGTGGGCACTGTATTTTAATTTTCTTTATCCATGCTCAGACTCTTATGCCTCCCAACCTTCCTCCCTTTCTCTCCCTCTCTGTCTCTCTGTCTCTCTGTCTCTGTCTCTGTCTCTGTCTCTGTCTCTCTCTCTCTCCATATACATATATACACACACACATATATACATATACATATATATATATCTTTTTGCCTTAATTTGAATATATTTATTTTATTAAATTTAGTGATTATTAGCTTTCTCATACCTCAAATTTAGGAAAGTACTAAATACAATCATAAATATATTGTTTTTGTAAGATATGTTAGAATTTGTCCCTCTTTAAAGTTTTGTCATTTTTCTTTTTTATGAGGAATATAAATTACTTATTTTTTTTGGTTCACTAACAAAAACATACTGCTCACTTTTATATGCTACTATGATTGTTAAGTGTTCAAAAATTCTCACTTAAAATATCAGGCAAATTTTTTTTCAACAGCTCTTATTTTAGCCTTAAAAACTCTTCAGGAAAAGATTCATCGTTTAGAGTTAGAGAGAACACAAGCTGAAGATAACCTGAACATTCTTTCCAGAGAAGCGGCACAGTATAAAAAGGCCTTGGAGGATGAAACAAAGGAGAGAAATCTGGCACATGAGGAACTAATAAAGCAGAAAAAAGGTAAGAACATTCAATAGTTCTCAAAAACAAGTGGTTACCAAAGTTTACAACTTAAAAATAATAAGCCCAGTCTAAGAAGATTTACTCAAATATCTTTGTTCTTATATGCATTCCAACGTTGAGGGCTTGTTCTCAGACATTTTGGTATTTGCACTAAATGGATATAATTTTGAACTTACCTCTATTATATCTGTTATCCCAGTTCATAAATTTTTGAGATTAAAAGAAAAATTAGACAAATTGTGTTTAAGAATTATAATATTTTCAGAATACCAACAAAATGCAATATGTTATTAGCCCATAATATAATTGGAATACTTCATATTTTCACTAGTTTTTTTTTAAATTAGAAAATATAAAGCAATACTAGTAATTAAACAACATAAAACAATAAAAATTAACTTAAAAAATTATATTTAACTTAAAAGATTAATTGGAAGAAATGGACAGGTAGGTGGAGGCTTCTGTGGAAATTATGAAAAGGACTTCTGGACATCTGTTTTAGAGATTTAGAACATAAGTTCTTTATATAATTTCACTTAAAAATTATGGCTTTTTTTTCCTTGTAACACTACATCACCCTCATAAACAAGGTTCAAATTTGTGTTTCAGCTTATAAATAGAATGAAGAAATGGGGAGGAAAAAAAAAATCCCAAGGTAATTGGACAAAAGTAGAAGAAAGAGCTGAGGAAAGTAATGAATTAAAGAATTAGAACGAGGTTGCTTATTATAAATAGAATTAACTGTGCAGTTAGTAGTCGAGAACAGAGGAAAATGGGAATGGTAGAATGCATATACCTGAGTTTCCTGAAAGAGAAGAAATGTATTGTTAGGAAAGAGACTTTAGGTCCTCTATTTTCCAGATGGTGTTGTTTCCCAGGAAGAGCCAGGTTTTTTGTTATCCCACAGGTCGCTGACATCCTTCCTTTTCAGAAGTATGCCCTCTGGGTGTTTATGAGGAGACAACGTTAAATTGGTTATATATAATTAATGAGATACACACAAAATGTATGTTCATAACTTTGGGAGAGTCAATATTTTGAACTAAAGAACTCTTGAACTTTTAGCTGTTGATTGAATTCATAGAATACATTTCTTGTTATAACTCTCTGATCTATGTGATAACTAACTGACTCATTATTACTTTTTCTTTTTCATAGATATAAGTATGCAGTTAAGCTCAGCCCAGTCTCACTGTACCCTTCTAGAGAAACAACTAGAATATACAAAGAGAATGGTTCTCAACGTAGAGCAAGAGAAGAATATGATCCTAGAACAAAAGGTGACCATATTTTCTATACTAATATAATATATATTTTTTGTTGTGTATTTTTTTTTAACAAAGTGAATCAGTTATACATATACATATGTTCCCATATCTCTTCCCTCTTGCGTCTCCCTCCCTCGCACCCTCCCTATCCCACCCCTCCAGGCGATCACAAAGCACCGAGCTGATCTCCCTGTGCTATGCGGCTGCTTCCCACTAGCTATCTACCTACGTTTCGTAGTGTATATATGTCCATGCCTCTCTCGCGCTTTGTCACAGCTTACCCTTCCCCTCCCCATATCCTCAAGTCCATTCTCTAGTAGGTCTGTGTCTTTATTCCTGTCTTACCCCTAGGATCTTCATGCCTTTTTTAGTTTCTTAAATTCCATATATATGTGTTAGCAAACAGTATTTCTCTTTCTGACTTACTTCACTCTGTATGACAGACTCTAGGTCTATCCACCTCATTACAAATAGCTCAATTTCATTTCTTTTTATGGCTGAGTAATATTCCATTGTATATATGTGCCACAACTTCTTTATCCATTCATCCGATGATGGACACTTAGGTTGTTTCCATCTCCGGGCTATTGTAAATAGAGCTGCAATGAACATTTTGGTACATGACTCTTTCGGAATTATGGTTTTATCAGAGTATATGCCCAGGATTGGGATTGCTGGGTCATATGGTAGTTCGATTTGTAGTTTTTTAAGGAACCTCCATACTGTTCTCCATAGTGGCTGTACCAATTCACATTCCCACCAGCAGTGCAAGAGGGTTCCCTTTTCTCCACACCCTCTCCAGCATTTATTGTTTCTAGATTTTTTGATGATGGCCATTCTGACTGGTGTGAGATGATATCTCATTGTAGTTTTGATTTGCATCTCTCTAATGATTAATGATGTTGAGCATTCTTTCATGTGTTTGTTGGCAGTCTGTATATCTTCTTTGGAGAAATGTCTATTTAGCTCTTCTGCCCATTTTTGGATTGGGTTGTTTGTTTTTTTGTTATTGAGCTGCATGAGCTGCTTATAAATTTTGGAGATTAATCCTTTGTCAGTTGCTTCATTTGCAAATATTTTCTCCCATTCTGAGGGCTGTCTTTTGGTCTTGTTTATGGTTTCCTTTGCTGTGCAAAAGCTTTGAAGTTTCATTAGGTCCCATTTGTTTATTTTTGGTTTTATTTCCATTTCTCTAGGAGGTGGGTCAAAAAGGATCTTGCTGTGATTTATGTCATACACTGTTCTGCCTATGTTTTCCTCTAAGGGTTTGATAGTTTCTGGCCTTACATGTAGGTCTTTAATCCATTTTGAGCTTATTTTTGTGTATGGTGTTAGGGAGTGTTCTAATTTCATTCTTTTACATGTACCTGTCCAGTTTTCCCAGCACCACTTATTGAAGAGGCTGTCCTTTCTCCACTGTATATTCCTGCCTCCTTGATCAAAGATAAGGTGACCATATGTGCGTGGGTTTATCTCTGGGCTTTCTATCCTGTTCCATTGATCTATCTTTTTGTTTTTATGCCACTACCATACTGTCTTGATTACTGTAGCTTTGTAGTGTAGTCTGAAGTCAGGGAGCCTGATTTTTCCAGCTCCGTTTTTCGTTCTCAAGATTGCTTTGGCTATTCGGGGTCTTTTGTGTTTCCATACAAATTGTGAAAGTTTTTGTTCTACTTCTGTGAAAAATGCCAGTGGTAGTTTGATAGGGATTGCATTGAATGTGTACATTGCTTTGGGTAGTATAGTCATTTTCACAATGTTGATTCTTCCAATCCAAGAACATGGTATATCTGTCCATCTGTTTGTATCATCTTTAATTTCTTTCATCAGTGTCTTATAATTTTCTGCATACAGGTCTTTTGTCTCCTTAGGTAGGTTTATTCCTACATATTTTATTCTTTTTGTTGCAGTGGTAAATGGGAGTGTTTTCTTGATTTCACTTTCAGATTTTTCATCCTTAGTGTATAGGAATGCCAGAGATTTTTGTGCATTAATTTTGTATCCTGCTACTTCACGAAATTCATTGATTAGCTCTAGTAGTTTTCTGGTAGCATCTTTAGGATTCTCTATGTATAGTATCATGTCATCTGCAAAGAGTGACAGCTTTACTTCTTCTTTTCCGATTTGGATTCCTTTTATTTCCTTTTCTTCTCTGATTGCTGTGGCTAAAACTTCCAAAACTATGTTGAATAAGAGTGGTGAGAGTGGGCAACCTTGTCTTGTTCCTGATCTTAGTGAAAATGCTTTCAGTTTTTCACCATTGAGGAGATGTTGGCTGTGGGTTTGTCATATATGGCCTTTATTATGTTGAGGAAGGTTCCCCCTGTGCCTACTTTCTGCAGGGTTTTTATCATAAATGGGTGTTGAATTTTGTCAAAAGCTTTCTCTGCATCTGTTGAGATGATCATGTGGTTTTTCTCCTTCAATTTGTTAATATGGTGTATCACGTTGATTGATTTGCGTATATTGAAGAATCCTTGCATTCCTGGAATAAACCCCACTTGATCATGGTGTATGATTCTTTTAATGTGCTGTTGGATTCTGTTTGCTAGTATTTTGTTGAGGATTTTTGCATCTATGTTCATCAGTGATATTGGTCTGTAGTTTTCTTTCTTTGTGACATCCTTGTCTGGTTTTGGTATCAAGGTGATGGTGGCCTCATAGAATGAGTTTGGGAGTGTTCCTCCCTCTGCTATATTTTGGAAGAGTTTGAGAAGGATAGGTGTTAGCTCTTCTCTAAATGTTTGATAGAATTCGCCTGTGAAGCCATCTGGTCCTGGACTTTTGTTTGTTGGAAGATTTTTAATCACAGTTTCAATTTCAGTGCTTGTGATTGGTCTGTTCATATTTTCTGTTTCTTCCTGATTCAGTCTTGGCAGGTTGTGCATTCCTAAGAATTTGTCCGTTTCTTCCAGGTTGTCCATTTTATTGGCATAGAGTTGCTTGTAGTAATCTCTCATGATCTTTTGTATTTCTGCAGTGTCCGTTGTTACTTCTCCTTTTTCATTTCTAATTCTATTGATTTCAGTCTTCTCCCTTTTTTTCTTCATGAGTCTGGCTAATGGTTTATCAATTTTGTTTACCTTCTCAAGGAACCAGCTTTTAGTTTTATTGATCTTTGCTATTGTTTCCTTCATTTCTTTTTCATTTATTTCTGATCTGATTTTTATGATTTCTTTCCTTCTGCTAATTTTGGGGTTTTTTTGTTCTTCTTTCTCTAATTGCTTTAGGTGCAAGGTTAGGTTGTTTATTCGAGATGTTTCCTGTTTCTTAAGGTAGGATTGTATTGCTATAAACTTCCCTCTTAGAACTGCTTTTGCTGCATCCCATAGGTTTTGGGTCATCGTGTCTCCATTGTCATTTGTTTCTAGGTATTTTTTGATTTCCTCTTTAATTTCTTCAGTGATCACTTCATTATTAAGTAGTGTATTGTTTAGCCTCCATGTGTTTGTATTTTTTTACAGATCTTTTCCTGTAATTGATATCTAGTCTCATAGAGTTGTGGTCGGAAAAGATACTTGATACAATTTCAATTTTCTTAAATTTACCAAGGCTTGATTTGTGACCCAAGATATGATCTATCCTGGAGAATGTTCCATGAGCACTTGAGAAAAGTGTGTATTCTGTTGTTTTTGGATGGAATGTCCTATAAATATCAATTAAGTCCATCTTGTTTAATGTATCATTTAAAGCTTGTGTTTCCCTATTTATTTTCATTTTGGATGATCTGTCCATTGGTGAAAGTGGGGTGTTAAAGTCCCCTACTATGAATGTGTTACTGTCAATTTCCCCTTTTATGGCTGTTAGTATTTGCCTTATGTATTGAGGTGCTCCTATGTTGGGTGCATAAATATTTACAATTGTTATATATTCTTGGATCGATCCCTTGATCATTATGTAGTGTCCTTCTTTGTCTCTTCTGATAATCTTTATTTTAAAGTCTATTTTGTCTGATATGAGAATTGCTACTCCAGCTTTCTTTTGGTTTTCATTTGCATGGAATATGTTTTTCCATCCCCTTACTTTCAGTCTGTATGTGTCTCTAGGTCTGAAGTGGGTCTCCTGTAGACAGCATATATATGGGTCTTGTTTTTGTATCTATTCAGCCAATCTGTGTCTTTTGGTGGGAGCATTTAGTCCATTTACATTTAAGGTAATTATCGATATGTATGTTCCTATTCCCATTTTCTTAATTGCTTTGGGTTCGTTATAGTAGGTCTTTTCCTTCTCTTGTGTTTCTTGCCTAGAGAAGTTCCTTGAGCATTTGTTGTAAAGCTAGTTTGGTGGTGCTGAACTCTCTCAGCTTTTGTTTGTCTGTAAAGGTTTTAATTTCTCCATCAAATCTGAGTGAGATCCTTGCTGGGTAGAGTAATCTTGGTTGCAGGTTTTTCTCCTTCATCACTTAAATATATCCTGCCACTCCCTTCTGGCTTGCAGAGTTTCTGCTGAAAGATCAGCTGTTAACCTTATGGGGATTCCCTTGTGTGTTATTTGGTGTTTTTCCCTTGCTGCTTTTAATATGTTTTCTTTGTATTTAACTTTTACAGTTTGATTAATATGTGTCTTGGCATATTTCTCCTTGAATTTATCCTGTATGGGACTCTCTGTGCTTCCTGGACTTGATTAACTATTTCCTTTCCCATATTAGGGAAGTTTTCAACTATAATCCCTTCAAATATTTTCTCAGTCCCTTTCTTTTTCTCTTCTTCTTCTGGACCCCTGTAATTCGAATGTTGGTGCGTTTAATGTTGTCCCAGAGGTCTCTGAGACTGTCCTCAGTTCTTTTCGTTCTTTTTTCTTTATTCTGCTCTGCAGTAGTTATTTCCACTATTTTATCTTCCAGGTCATTTATCCGTTCTTCTGCCTCAGTTATTCTGCTATTGATCCCATCTAGAGTATTTTTAATTTCATTTATTGTGTTGTTCATCATTCTTGTTTCATCTTTAGTTCTTCTAGGTCCTTGTTAAATGTTTCTTGCATTTTGTCCATTCTATTTCCAAGATTTTGGGTCA